TCAGTTGGCCGATCAAATAGAAATCGAACGATTGCATCCAAAGGCAAACCAATCAAGGGAAAGCGGTAAGTGTTTAATAGTAATGCTACAGCCCAACGAGGATAACGAAATTCTGAAAAGTAGCACTTCTTAAGAAGAAACATAACAGTCTTTAACATTCAAAAAAGAACTATTTTACGCATGAAAAGTTATCCAGTTACCATTGGCTTCCACACGTGTTGGCTCCGAAGTTACCATTTGAGTAGGACGCACTGTATCCCGGTGTCTAAGCTGAGTAGCAGTATTGGTGGACTGAGAAGAAGATGGCCCCTATGAATACAAATTTTGGGAATGATAGAAGTTGAAAGTAGCACATGGAAAAAATGTTGTACCTGTGTAGCATACGGTGTATTACTGATATGGCAATGAACAACACATCCATCACGAAGACCATATGAAGCCAGCGTTCTCGAATCTTCACGAAGTAGTTGACCTAATTGTAATACAATTTACAATTGCGACCTCTTTATATCGACAGCAAATACATATTCCAGTTCAGGTTAACGAACTAAGAGGAAAGGAGCAACAACAGACCTAACTATATGGAAATCAAGCTTTTTTCTACAAGAAGATCAAATACTTCTGAAATTGCGTGCAAACGATGAAGTAAGTTTGAAATCAAGATAATGTTATCAACTTATACAGACCAACAGCAATAATATTGGAAAATAATCAGAAAAGCTGGTGCCGTGTGTACAAAGTAAAAAGGATTTCCAAGCCAAGTGGACATATCATCAAGAGGCGATCAAACTACATGCAAAGCGTAGGTCATAGGTGCAGACAAAATACTAAAGCACTGACCTTGATAAATCAACCTCACCACACGACCGGCAGCAACAGCATCACCAAAGTGTACGCTAAAGATGCCAAATTTCTGATTATGCATACTAGAAAGCTGACTTTTCAACAGAAACTACTTACCTTTTAAATTTGCCTATGGTGTCAGTCATTGTTGTACGAGCATCTCTTTGAGAATCGTCGAGAAATTTCAAACGAATTACCGAGTCGCCTTCGGCTTCCGGAGGGCTTTCGGTTTGCGATGGGGAAGCGTTATCGTGTGGAGCTTAAGAAGAAGTTACAGTACAACGATGTGACGAGGGAAGATTGTTAACCACCTTCTACTCTTTGGAGAGGGTTTGATGAAGTTGTGATATCTTCAGCTGCGGTGTCTGAGACTGGCTCACGATCAACGCTGGGTGCTTCAGTTTCCACCTAGAAAATCGAAAATGATTTTTTTTTCCAAAATCTAGGATAACCGCGACCCACATCATTGGAATCTAGTTCGTCATTTACAACGCTGATGTTCACTGGCATTACAATGTTTGTAACACCGTGAGGCCGCTGTCCTTCTACTGTGAAACTGTTGCTGTTCACTTCTCCACCTATCGACGACACACCAACAGCTGAAACGCCAAGTGACGCTCCACTGGTAGCCCCAGGTACTACATCCATAGTTCCAGAAGAGCTTCCGACTTGAAGGCCTCTGGAACAGTACTAACTGTTAGCAGAAGGCATGAAGCAACCATTGTGCATTGAAATATTAAGCTATGCCAACATGTTTAACACTCTATCAAAAATACTGAACAAGATTCTAACTTTATGTTAATTTCTTCTCATATAGGGTCAAATCTAGCTTGAACTACGGAAAAAACAAAAAACCGACCCTCGTCCGAGAACAGCAATAGCTGCGGCCGCCGCGAAATGGCTTTCATGTGACAAGTCTCCTCCACCAGATCCAGAAGAGGGCATCTCTATTTCCCACAATGTGGATGCTGACGGTGAAGGCACACTTAAGATCACGATAATCAGAATATAAGGAAGCACATAGAAAAAAGGGAAAATAAAAACTAGCAGATACCTAGTTGACGAGTCATCCATTACTGTAGCAGGAGACTGTATAACAACATTTGTGTCGCTAATCCTGTGACTAGTAGGAACACCTTCAGCGATGTCGGTTTGTGAATGCACACGTGCTCTGGTTCGCATTCTTGCCATCACATCTCCCCAAGAGCCTCGTGGCCGAAATTCTTGGCCCAGTTGCAGTACCTAAAGTGAGTTATCAAAAAAGTATGTTTGACCGTCATAAGCAATTTAGAAAATGCGTTAAAAAAACTCTATACAAAATATTGTATGGAGCTCTCTGGGCAATAAAATCACTCCTATTCTGAGTATAAAAGTATGAAACACATAGTGAGATATGGTAATAGAGTAATAATGTGTATCTAAATATTTTTATACTGATAATATAATAATATTTAGATAGATAACAAGCTGACTAGTCTGACTAAAACTGCTATAAGCTTTAGCCAGCTTGATGGACAACGTAGATAAATGATGTCATCCGATAAGTGGTTATGCAATGACTTAAATCAATTGCCACTAGTTTAATGATGAGCAGAACTTAAAATTTGTTATAATTACCTAAGAATCCTAGCCGCATAGCTCTACCCAAATTTCAAGGTTGAACAAACACGATCTGTCTAACACAAAAAAAAAATAGGCAGTACGAAACCAGCCGTTTTTCACAGAAAATCTGGTCTTTCCAAAGCGGCTGTGTCTCACCTACCTGTACAAATCTCCTAGCGTCCCATGAATGTATTTCAACTAGGAATAGATCATAAAAAAGAGGTCTTCGACCGGTTAACCTCCATGCACTAACCAATATTAACAGTACAGTCAGCGACGCAGCAACCACAAAGAACGCAGTCACTACCTGAAAAAAAACTCTTACAAAATTTAAAAAATGCTTAGTTACCACATCTGATCACTAATCTGCTAAGCGGATTTTGAAAAATATCTTTAGTTCATT